TTGATTCGTCCCGGCAGCCGAAGCACCACCACAGCGCGGCTCACGCGCGAGGCACAGGGCGGGCTCAGGGGTGGGAATGAAATGGCTTGGGCAGGTTAACGGGCTGAGCGGGCCCTGACTGACCGTGTCAACTTACTTGCCACTAACTTGATGTTGGAGGGGTCTGATGGGCTGGGGAGCTGCAGTGGTGCTCTCCATGATCTTGGGGGAAAAAACTTCAGGGCTTTTTCTGTAGTCAGTAGGAAACAAGGTCTAAGCCTGCTCCCTACGAACAACCCAAAGAAACTGCCTCCATAGCTGGAGCACGGATGGCGAAAAAAAACCCACACATCTTGTGCATCTGTTCACACCCATCGTGCACACACCAGTCCCGCTGTGTTGGGGGACGCTTTTGCTGCCCAGTTGTGACAAGGAGCTGGTGAAACGAGCTGGCAGCGGGCAGGCAGGGAGCTTGGATGCAGAGATGCGTGAAGCAAGCTGCTGGTAAACATTAATACTGTGCAGCAAACGCCAGGTTTCACCATTTAGCGTCCCTGCCGGTCCCTGCCAGTCCCTGTGGGGCGATGCTTAGTTGATGGAAGCGATGTGCAGTCCCCTGACCCTTGAGCAAGGACCCACAGCGGCTTCTGCTCTCCCTCACCCTGCCAAGAGGACCCACAGGCGGGACTCATGGCAGCTACAGTGCAATGGGTGCTCAGCAATGCCAGGCACTTTTGCATCCAGATGCAGATGAAGCAAAGATGCCAAGCCCAAAGCTGGGGAGCTCGGCACGGAGCTGCTCGACTGGCTTCAGGATGGAGATGTGATGGCATCAAGGTTCGGGACAAGCAAGGCCACCCTTGCACAGTGCCGTAATGCACAGCCACTGCCTGGCTTGATGGACATGCTGGGCAATAAAAAATCTCTCTTAAAGCAGGGATGAAAAGCAGTAGCCACAATGCCCACGCTTTCAGAGAGCACATTTGGGGCTCAGCGCTCAGCCCTGGAGATGTTTATAGCACTTTAGGTCTGTTTGTGAGGTTGGAGCCTTTCCAAAAAAAAAAGCAGGGAGGGGGTGAAAAAAAAATAAAAATGAGAAAGACATATATTATTGTTTATAATCTGCTTTATTCAGCCAAACCTTTCCCCAGCAGCCTTTCGGATTGCTGTTTAAATCCCTCAGTGCCTTTAACTACCGATACAGAAAGTGGTTAATGTGCATTCGTCCTAAGCTTGGCATCTACTCCAGGAAATCACTTTAATTGAGAAGCATTAAATGTTAAAATGATTAAAATATAGAAAGCCAACACACCGGTGCCCGTGGAGGGGCTTGGGCCCCCCCTGGGGCATGGCTCTTCCATCTCACCTGTGCCTGCCGAGTGCCATCACTGCATCGTGGCAGGAAACCTGTGGGCATCTTGTGGTGCCATGTGGTAGAGATGGAGTTGCCCACCCCAAACCCACCCACCTCTCCCTCTTCCCAAAAAGCCAGGGCACAATAGCCGGTATTGCTTGTCCCATCCAGGGATGCCGGCTCCTCCATCCGGACAAATCCCAGGGGATCCTGAACCCAAACAGATGATGATGCCGGAGCAGGCGATGCCAATGGTGGCCACTGCATTCCCGTTGAGGAAGAAAATCCCAAAGACAGCAGCTGCTAAAGAGCATCCCGAGTTTATTTGACATCGCTTTCCCTCGAGGCGAGGGGGTGACCGTACACATCTCATGCCAATGCACAGGAGGCAGGGTACAAAAGCAACACCCCGGGCCCAAATTCGGGGGGATTGAGGGGTCCTTTTTCCCCAAAGACATGACAATAAATAAGGTTTTGTTCTTTCAAATTTTTTTTTATTGTTTTTGTTGTGGGGGTTTTTTTTCCTCCTTTTTTTTCCTCCAGGAAACAAGACTCTCACTTTCTGGAACTGTACAAAATTTACACAGCGAAGGGAAGGGGCGTTTGGCCTTGTCAAAGGGGGATGGAGAGCAGTGGGCACAGCTCGCCCATTTGCCCCTTCCCACCAGCCACCCGCAGTGCCCGGCGAGTCCAGGGGCTTG